TCCTTACCTATTTTTGTACATGGACACTTTCCATGTGCTACTGAAACCTATGGACCCCTTCTCAGGAAAAGATCAGAGATTGCATAAAATAAGATACATACAATTACAAATAATTGTGTTGAACTAGTTATCTGAATATTTCAAATAATATAGTACTATATCTATATTTTATTAATGCATTAGGATTTGGTATTGGACTAAAAACTAATTTTATAGTAGTGTTCCATGTAAATATATACTTCAATTTAACTAAAAATCAGAAGGAGACACACAGAGAATTCCCATCTGCTGAGTCATCCCTCAAATGTCTGCCTTGGCTAGGACTGAGTCAGGGCTGGAGCCCAGAGCCAGAACACAACCCGAGTCTCCCCTAAGCATGGCAGAACCCAGAACCCAGTGACTTGGGCTACCACCACGGCCATGGAGGAGCCCTGCCCAGAAACAACTCTGGCACTCCAGTGTAGGACACGGTGTCTTAATTGCTGGGCTAAGCTCCCACTCCTATACAATACTTTGGGATATCTGTAATAGCTACTGTGACACAAGAGTATCTACAATTTATACTGATGACGAAGTGACAAGTGCACTGAACGGCACTGTGGTTTGTGGCCTACTTCATAAGAAAATGCTAAATTTCAATTAGAAGTAGGGAAAATAAATATGTAGTTTATTTTTTTGTTGCACGCTCACATCAAAGCTTATTTCTATTGATGGATAGGACCCCTGACTTGCTGAAATTTAAAACACAATCTTCCAGAAATATTTGAGCAATAAGTGGAATAATTGCACAGCCTTCCAAGGAGAACTACTTGAAACCAGAAAATGGTTACTCTAGTCATACAGAAATACATGCCCATTGCCTATCATGTCTCATGTAGGCTTCAGCTATCGCCTGAGACCTAATAATTTTGTGCATAAGAATGTAGGTGCTCTGTTTCATTGAAAAATAAATATAATAAATTAAACTTCTATGTTAAAGGCTTTATTTTGTATTTTTTAAGTTTGTTCTTTTAGAATTTGCCCCAGTGTGTCCATGACCTAAACCCATTTTATTATTTTCCTTGCACTAGTACCTTATTCAAATTATGGAAATCTCCATTCTACAGACTTTTTAAAATATCAGATATGTGGTTTTGTTATTTTTGTAGGAAGAAAGTGAGGCTTACTAAAGCACATCATTATTCATAGATTTTCCTGGTGCCCTAAAAAACTGACATCAGATTATGTTTGATCTTCAGTCATAATCTTTTTTTAAGATTTTTAAATTATTTATTTGAAAGGCAGAGTTACAGAAAGAGAGAGAAATCTTCCATCAGATGGTTCACTCTCCAGATGAGCGTGATGGAAGTGGAGTAGCCGGGACGTGAACCAGTGATTGTATGGGATGCTGGTGTTGTAGGCAGTGGCTTAACCCACTCTACCACAACGCTGGCCCCTTCAGTCCTAGTCTTTGGCTATTGTGATGTTCACTGTTTATTGAGATTACAAAGCTCAAAAAATGAATTTATTTACTAATCGTTCTGATTTATGACCATAAGACTTTTCCCAAGGAAAAAAATGAAATAAAATGGATTTCATCACTATACTTGTAACCCTATCTAGTTTTTAAAAAATCTTTTAAAAGACATCACTCATCCCAATTGTTATGTCTAAACGAGACCTTCTATAACTTTTGTGGGGGATGGTCAGATGTGGTTGGGAAATTAAAAGTATGTGAGTTTTCAAATATCAACAGAGCCACAGGAGACTTCTGTGAAACTCTAGCTCCTTAGAGAACCTAGGATGCTTTTGTTGACCTCTCAGCTGCTTTCATTGTTTTGTTCCCCAGTGTACGGAGACACGGGCTGCACCAAGCAGCCAGCCACATCAGCATTTCTGTCCACGTGCCGCTCAGTGTTGTCTACAGCCCATCTAAAACGGCAGTTCTGAAACATGAAACCTGCTATGCACTTAATCAGATTTCTGGTTCAGAAAACACAAAAGTCACAGTGGTTTTAGGAAAAAAAAAAGTTCTGAGACGCTGATGGGACTTACAAGCCCTTCACTGAAATTGCAACAGCACCGGCTGCAGGCACAGGGGACTCACCTGCACAAAACCGCTGCTCCACAGCAGCCCTACTGCGCACCCAGGTAGTTACAGTGCAAGTTCAGTCCTATCAGCCGTCTACAGACCAACCCTCGGGCAACTGGAACTTAACATTCACTTCAAAACCATCTGGAGAGCTTCTATTTTTCATAGGATTTGGTTGTTTTTTCTTTGTTTTTAATGGACTCTGTCCCCAGGGCCATCTGAGTGTTTGTTGCAAGGTGACTGCGAGTGACTGCTAAATGTTCAGTTCCTAGATTCTTCCAAGGTGCAACCGTGTCCCCAGTGAGAGCGGCTGCCTGGCAAGGTGTCCACAGTTTGAACACAGAGGGGTGCCTGGTACCCAACAGACTCAGGCTTTATACTCCCAGGGATCCTGGGTAACCTGCAATTCACTAGTTAATCCTTGCAGTAACTATTTCCTGCACGCTTCCTCTGGGGTCCGTGCAGTGGGCAGCCCTGGCGAGCATGAGCGGATCTCAGTGTCTGCCCTTACACATGTGCTAGCTTACCTCGTACTGCTGTCATTCCTCGGGGCTCAGAGAATCCTATAGCGCAACAATGCCGACAGGCTCAGCGGAAGCTGCAGGGCGGGGGAGGAGGCAGCTGTAAGAAAAGGTTCCTAAACAAAGAGCGTTGGGCAATGCCACCCTCTGCCCTGCAGCTGCGTTTGAAAGTTTTGGTTTTCATAGTATATCCTCTAAGAGGATTTATTTTTATTTCTCATTAGCTCAACTGAAAAAAAAAAAGGGGGAAATGTCCCTTGACTGAATGTTCACAAACTATTTATATTGTAACAGTAATTAGAGAAGTAAGGAAATAACTCAAGTCTTGCATTGGGTCCGTTCAGAGGACTGCCAGTTATTTCTACAGGTGCTCCCGAATGTCAGGGTGGAGTGGACTGAGGGGAGAAGTAACATCACGTAAATTCACATCTGAACAAAACAAAATATTTGCCAGCTGTTTTAGGAAGAGCCTAAAGGGCAACGCCAAATGCACCAAATAATAACATATGATGGTGACCTTGTCCTTGGGGGAACCTCCATCCCAGAGGGTCAGAAGACCTTGAATCCAGCTAAACATTACAAAGAAAAGAGTTGTCCAGCACCTGAGCTCATTTCCAAAACAAAAGGCCACCAGCTTGCTATGTGAGAACGTTTCTCTCCAGAGTCCAAGAAACCTGGACTTGAGTCCCAGCTCTGTCATAGACCCGATCAATAGCCATAGGCAACTTACTTAACCTTGTGTTTCCAGTTTCTTTACCTGTAAGACGTGCCTTAAGCCTGGCTACCACTTAGGATTGTCATTAAGATTTAGTGAGAACATATATAAAGCTCTTGGCATCCAGTGCACAAAATACAGTAGTGCTCCTCCCATGCCACTCTTTAACCAAAAATATAGGAGTTGGGTTTCAGAGAGTTTTCCTGCTGCTTTGAGTGAGTAATTCTTAAAGCCTAGCAACTGTGTTTACGAATCAAAAAATATCATTATGGAACTGCAGTGTAATCCACCTTCTCACTAAATTAGCACATCACCAAATCATACTTCTGTGTATGGCCACGCCTGAGTATTTACTTCGTACGGACAGTGCACCTGGCGCTGTTCTAGGCTCTAGCAGGGGCAGACGGGCAGGCGAGGACCCAGGCTCCACGAAGCTGCTACTTCAGAACCTTGAAAAGGGATTCAGTGTCTTTATGAATATGGCTGGCATTTCCCGATGAAGCCCAGGATTCTGAAACAACCGGCGCTCGGAACTGGGAAAGGGGAAGTCCGTGCAGAATGGAAAGGATTTGGTTCCCTGGGGTTCAGATGGCTAATCCCAGTGAGCCCAATTAGAAACGAAAGGGCCCCAGTGAAACGGCTCTTCTGAGAGCAAGACATTCCTCTGCTCTTAGACCAGCCTTCCCTTCCACATGGAACCAATTTCTTGAAATACACTCAAGAGGCTCTCTGGAGGCCCTGGGTTACAGGACACTTGAAACCTGAACCTTCGGAATTTCAGGATTTAACATGTAGAACTGGTTGAGGGGGTTGAGTATTCTGATCTCCAGGCCCCGCAAGCCTCAGGGCTCAGCTTCAGGGCTGCACTGGCTCACAGAAGCCTCCAGGGCTTCTCTGGACTTCTGCTTCGATAACCCCAGAACAATCGCACCTGCCTCGCTTGGTTAACCGCTGTAGCAAGCAACACAGAGGCGCTGGGGCTTTGACATGCTGAAGCTTATTTACTGTTCGCATCGCAGACCAGTGCTGGCTGGCAGGCTGGCCCTGTTCTCCCCCAGCCCTGCAGGAACCAAGCCTGTGCGCTTGGTGCCTGTATCTTCTATAGAGAGCCTCGTCTTCCTCTAATTCAAGATGAGGAACGAGAAGGTGAGGATGGTCGCCTGGGTTTTGTTTCCTAGGCCAGCGCTGGAGGGGGTTCCCGTGCCCTCTGTGCAGTTCCCACCCCGCAGTCGGGGCTCAGTCACACGGCTGCCCCTATCTGCAGGAGCCTGGGGACGTAGTCGGACCGTGGCCACTGCAGGACAACACTGGGGGATGGCCATAACACACAGGAGAACCCCTCGGGGTCCCTAGGTCTGGGCCAGGGCCCCTCTCCTCCACTCAGCTCGTCCTCCCTGGGTAGAGCAGAGAAAGCCACCCCGGTGTCTCCTGTCTTCCTGTCACCTGAAGAGAGGACCATGAGAAGAGAAACTTCAAAGTGGCGCTCACCCTTGTCCCCTCCACCGGAGCACCTTCGTCACGATTCGTTCTCGTCCCATCTCCTGTATTGCAGTGTGTGGGTGTGGCGGGGGGGGGGGGGGGGGGACTGCACAGAGTCTTGTGCAGGCCTCCAGGCCTGGCAAGAACGTGTGAGCTCCCGTGTTCTTCCTGGTAGCCTGTGCTCACCCCCAGCCCTGTGCCTGTTGTCTTGTAGGGAATGACCCCGCTCCACTGGGCAGCCTTCCACAACCGGCCTCAACACACGCAGCTGTTGTTGAAGAAGGGGGCAGACCCCACGCTCGTGGACAAAGACTTCAAAACCGCTCTGCACTGGGCGGTCCAGGTGAGAAGGTGGCCAGGGGCTCGTCTCAAGTTTAGACGGTGTAGCCTAGTGGGAGCAAGTTTCTGAGTGTGTCAGGCCATGAGGGATGGACTGGTCACAGGGAAAGCCCTGGTACTGCCAGGACACTGACACGTGTGATAGAGCCAGTGAGACTGCTCTCTACCCTCCTCCCTGCCTTTTGTCCAGAAGACTTGATGTTTTCAGTTTGTTCAACTGCAAAAAAAAAAAAAAAAAAAAAAAATGTTGATTTGAAAGGCAAAGAGAGAGAGAAAGAGAGAGAAACAGACAACAAGAGACAAATCTCTCAACTGGCCTTCATTCCCCACATGCAACAGTGAGGGCCAGGCCACTCAAAGGCCTGGGGTCTACCACGTGGCGGGCAGGGACCCCAGTCCTCGAGCCACCGCATTCCTTCCCAGAGAATGCATTAGCGGGAATCAGAAGCAAAGCCAGGACTCCAACCCAGGCTCCCACGTGGTATCTTGATCTTTGAAAGATGTATTTATTTATTTATTTATCTATTTACCTAGCTATTTATTTATTGGAAAGACAGAGCAGCAAAAAGAGAGAGGGAGAGAAACAGAGAAATCATCTATCTGTTGGGTCACTCCCCAGACACAACAACTGGGCCTGGGCCAGGCCAAAGCCAGGAGCCACAGATTCCATCCAGGTCTCCTACATGGAGGAAGGGACTCAAGTACTCGAGCCATCCTCTGTCGCCTCTCAGGCACAGTAGCAGGAAGCAGAATCAGAAGCAGAGTAGCCAGGACTCAAACCAAGCACTCTGATGTGAGATGCAGGCGTCCCAGGCAGTGACCTAACACGCTGCACCACAGCACTCACTCCCCAAGTGGGGACTTAACCGCTGCACCACACTCCTGCCCCTCGCTGCCCTTCCCGTCCAGAGGGGGCAGCAGCAACCCTGTTGCTTTGAGATTTTGCATCAGCTGTTGAGAAGAAAGCCTGCCAGGATGCACAGGGAGGTGGTTATGGACTAACAAGCAGAACCTGTCCTGGTGCACACACACGCTCATTCTCACCCTCTTTCTCTCTCCATCTTCATGCCTGATGCTCTCTCCCAGGGTAAACCTTCAAAGGATTACTAGGGAAATCCTCGACTCTCTCATCTCCCTTCCAAATCCTCCCCAGCAGTGTCATTCCAGGTGATCCCAACTCCCCTGCTGGACAAGGAGAATAGAGACTTGTGCCCCTGCACGGCTCTCACCAAAGGGAGTCCACATCAATACAAACAACCAAAGAAATCAGAGCAGGCCCAAGAAATGTACTGGCCACGGATGCTAACGTGGAGAAGCAGGTGAAAGAGACACCAGCTAACTCAAGTGCTTTGCATTTGTGAGGGGCAGGACAGATGGAGTTATCTGTCCCCTCCTTCAAGGAGAACAGTCCCAGGCAGCCTTTCAACAAACTCGCTGGCCTGCTCTGGGTCTCGAACTCTAAGCACCGACATCCCTACCGCTTACCTCCATCAGCCCACTCAGGGCACCCTTGGGGAGCTGCTGCCGCCCACCCGGGAGAGCAGCTTCCGCTGGCCCAACTGTGGTTTCGCTAAGTGCTTTCCTGTGCCAAGCGCAGCAGAGGTGGCACCTGGGACTTTCAGGCCTGCCCCTTGCACTTGATGTGAGAAGACAGCAGATCTGATTTGCAAACGGCTCTGTTTTTTGTGTCTGCGGCCTCAGCGTCAGTGACTCCGTGGCGTGGCAGGGCCAACTCTGGGAGAACCACAGGGAGCACAGCTTGTTTATGCCACCTCCACCTGCCCCAGAACCCTCCCTCGGACTTTCGGTATCTACTCACCCATCCTCCCCCTGCACTGCCAGTCTCTGCCCAGGGCCCAGGCCCCTTGACTGGCCCTCCAGCGGGTTAGGGGTCCCTACTCTAGCAGGGCCGTCAGGGGAATCTGGCTGGGTTCCCTGAAACGGGCGGCATGCATTGGTGCTCTGCTAACGTAAGAATGACGTCAGCATTTTCAGGAGTCCCCCTGGGTGCCCTGCGTTCGGATTCCCTTCATCTGGGTGTGTGTGCATGCATTTTGAAAACTCACCCCGGGTACCTTGGACCCTTCCTCCCCCAGCCCAAGTTAGAGCTGCATCCTGGACTTGACCTTGCGATGGAATCACCAGCAGGGCTTGTAAACAGCAAGTTCCCAGACCTTCAGGGTGGGGGGTGGGGAGTCTTGGGGGGTGGGAGCTCCTGTTTTTGTCATCTAAGAAGCAGTTTGGTAAAATTATAAGAACATGCACTCAACTTAGTAGATTGGAGTTTGCCTTCACTGACCCGGGTTCCATTTGACGGAACTCATCCAATGTTTGAACACGTAGAGAAAGGCATCCTGTTACAGCAGGTTAAGCCACTGCTTATGGTGCCCGTATCTCCTGTCAATGTGCTAGACTGAGCCCTGGCTACTCTGCTTGCTTGCTTTTTTTTTTCTTTTAAGATTTTCTTTATTTATTTGAGAGGTAGAGTTAGAGGGGGAGAAGGGGGAGAGGTCTTTCATCCAGTGGTTCACTCCCCAAACGGCCTCAACGGCTGGAGCTGCACCAATCTGAAGTGAGGAGCCAGGAGCTTCTTCCAGGTCTCCCACGTGGGTGCAGGGGCCCAAGGACTTGGACCATCGTCTACTGCTTTCCCAGGCCACAGCAGAGAGCTGGATCAGAAGAAGGGCAACTGGGACATGCCCATATGGGATGCCGGCACCACAGGTGGAGGCTTAACCTACTACAACACAGTGCACCTGGCTGCTCCAATCTCAATCCAGCTTCCTGCTAATGCACCTTGGGAAGCAGACATCTACTTGGTTCCCTGCCACTCATGTGGGAGACCCTGCTGGAGTTCCTGGCTCCTGGCTTCAGTCCAGCGTAGCCTGGGCTGTTGTAGCCATTTGAGGAGTAAACCAGTAGAATGCTTGGCTCACCTGTGAGTGTATCTCTGGGGCATGAAAAGATGATGCATGTGACAGTGATATGTGCTATGGAATTGAACGAGACATTGTTATTAAGGTTCCTGATTTTCCCCACAAAAACACTACCCATGCTTACGTTTCTTCCTTTCAACTAGATGAGATTGTTTGTTTGTGTTTTATTTGTTTGAAAGGAAGAGAGAGAGAGAGAGAGAGACCTTCCTTCTGCTCTTCTACGCTCCCAAATTCCCACCCAGCAGCCAGAAATGGGCCAAGTCAAGGCCAGGAGCCTTTCTACCACACCCAGAAAGCCCCCCACTCCATGATATCCCAGAATGGCAGGGGGATTATGGGAGTGAGAAATAGTGGGCCCACACTCATATCTATAAAATCTCCAATCTGAGGACCTACACTGTGGCCCAGGAGGTTAAGCCACTATCTGTAGTGGCAGCATCCCATAAGCATCAGTTCGAGTCCCGGCTGCTCCACTTCTGATCCAGCTCTCTGCTGTGGCCTGGGAAAGCAGCAGAAGATGATCCAAGCACTTGGGCCCCACACCCATGTGGGAGGCCCTGAGGAGGCTCCTTGCTCCTGGCTTCAGCCTGGCTAAGCCCTGGCTGTTGCAGCCGTTTGGGGAGTGAACCAGTGGATGGAAGATCTCTCTATCTCTTTCAAATAAATAAATAAAAATAAAAAAAAAAAGGAAGAAACAATTTTTTTAAATCCTCCAGTCTGAATGTGGACTGGGCTCTCGGTTCCTTGTTGCGATGTCCATCTGATCTATATTCCTTTCACTACACTTGCTAGCATGCTTACTGCTAATGTAATTTTTTTATCAAGCCAGGAGCCAGGAACTCAGTGAGGGTCTCCCATGTAGAAGACAGTAACTTGAGCATCACTTGCTGCCTCCCAGAAGGTGCATTAGCAGGAAGCTGCAGTCAGAGGCAGAACTCCAACCCAGGCACTCTGACATGGGACACAGCATCCCAAGTCGCATCATAACTGCTGCTCCCCTTGGTGATGCTGGTTTAACTTGCTGCGTTAATGTGGCTGTTATCTGCAAATGAGAACCATGTGAAAAGGTTTTAACCAGTGCTGATCCCAGACCCCAATTCTTAGATTGTCATTCAGTTATTCGGGGGTGGGACTGGAGCAGCAATAGTTTTAAAGCTCCTTCTTCCCCCCAGGAGGTTATAATGCTCAACCTGATAAATGAATTCATAGTAATGAATGTCAGTATCTTATCTACTCCTGCCTACGATGTTTGCTTTTTGTCCATGGTTGTGAAGCATAATGCTTCATTCTTCTATTTACTCGATTGCCTGGCAAACATTTTTTGAGCACCTACCATGTGTCTGGCATTGGCGGCAGAATGATGATAAGGCAGGTGCCTTCTAGAACCCCTACGAGTGTGCACAGTTGGGGTGTGGATGTTTGCATTCATGTCTGAGAAAGGAGTACGCAACTTTCTTCGGTTCCTCAATGAGGACCTGCGACTACCTCCAAAAGCTTCGGAATCACGGCTCTACAGGAAGTGTGCACCCTCTCTCTTCCCTGTGGTTGGCAGTGCAACCCAGAAGTGGTGTCTTCTGCCCTTTACACAACGCAGACTCCGGGTAATTCCAAATGTCAGTGAAGTCATTGTTGTCCTTGCCTTCTTTGGCTGTTCTGTCCATTTTTAACACAGAACCAACATTGTGCTCCTCTTAATTTTTCCACGTGAATGAACCTATTCCTGTTGTCATTTATGGCCTTCCTGCTTTTCTCTTGGACCGTACAATGAGATCACATTTAAAACTAGAGTCCTTTGAAATAATCAGGCTTTTGTACTTGACCTGGATAACCAAAGCAATATAGATTTGAAACATCAGGCCCATGAAGTCACCAAGCTTGACATCTGCTCTCATTCCTCAGGTCACTCGGTAACTGGTGGCCCCTCCAATGAGCCCATTGCCCTCTTTAATGCTCCCCTGTCTTCCCAGAAGACCCCACTGCTTGGCTGTATCTGGACTAGCACTGAGCAGAGCCCTAGTCCCCATCCCAATCCCTTAGGGTCATGTTCTTGACTACCTGTAATGACAGC